TGGGACTCATAATGTTTCTCTACCGGGAAGGGATCCCAGCACTGCTCGGAAGAGTATGGATAATACTGGACGTTGTACCCGGTGTGGTAGCTCGGCTCGTTAACCCAAGAGGGGTAGTGTCGGGGAGAGTACACGTGGTTGAAGTTCATTATAACTGCACACCAAAACAGAAAAAACCACGTGAAGCCACGAAAAAGAGAAAAACAAAGAAGACGAAAAGAAAAACAAATATGCACAAAAAGAAGAACAAAAATACGAAAAACACAAAACAAAGAGAAACACGGAAAATAAAATCAATACCAAAACCAAATATCCTACTTTCCTTCCCCGACAACGGCGCCAAATTTTGTTGTGTACAAATTATTCTTTTTACCGAGTACCGAATCTAAAGATTCGTTCCCTGGGTCGATCTCACGAGGAAGGCAGTTCGGAATTCAGAAATGGTATTGACAACACATAAAAGCAAAATAAATCCTAAACATACTAATCAAATAAGGGAGTGAATAATTATCAGCTAAGAAATGAATAACAATGCAAAATGTAAATCTACCTAAGAATATGAATGGAACGAAGATGGAGAAGCTAGGGAATCGGGGATAATTAATTCAAGTTCTAGCAAAGTCGGGATATCAATTGTTCGGTTCGAGATTGACACTCCCGCTTAAATGTCTAGCGGTTCGCTCCCAATAACTCTTCGTAACAAGGGATTGAACATAGACGAACAAGCTCAAGCATACAAAACAGGCCAATGATCCCAGTCCCAATAACTATTCGTAACAAAGGACGAGTCATCGACAAGCTCGTATTTCAATCTAAAACACATAGATTATTCAATTACGAAATCATCTACCTCATGCGAGCCTAATTCTACGACTTCTCCTCTTTCGGTTCTGAAAGCCGCTAAACCAATTAGAAGGTGTTTAATCAACTAATCATATAGAATTGACAAACCCTAACTCGACAAATTAATATCCAACTGTCACCAATAGCAAGATCAAAATGTCACTTTTCGATTATATCAATCTATCGAATATAAATTCATCAATTCATTATCCAAACAACACACATAAGTATGAACGAATCGAAGCCCGACAAAATACAATTCAAACATGAACAATCATTCCCCTATCCCTAGCGACATAAATTAGCTACGTAAATCAAATTCAA